TACTACTACGACTACTACTCCTACTGATATCAATACTACAAACGTTAGCAATACTATACATTAGAATAACACCTGTCGTCATCATCAGCATAACCGTTACCAACAACAACAACATTGATGAACGCTATCTTTCTTTAAGCCTCCTGTGGCAGGCGAGCGGAATGGACGATCCGTTTAAAGCCTTCGCAGTTGCATTCTCGAGCCCATCGCGGTTGTCATCTTTGACGTGAGATCACCCAAAACCGTAAACTCTGGGTGGTTCAAGGGGGGGAGGGTTTAGGGTTGGGTTTAGGNNTTAGGGTTTAGGGTTTAGGATCCTGAGTGGCACCGGAGAGAATCAGGGACTATGGGATTCTATACCCCGTTTGAGCCTCCCTGCCTCAAGGATCCCAGAAGGAAGGTCGTTGCTCGTTGCAAGAATCACCCACGGGTTTAGGGTGTGGGTGTAGGGTTTAGAGACCCTGGTGACGTCCATCCGTCTTCCTCGTTTCGCCTTGAGACTGTAGTGCAGTGTGGTGCGATCCCTTGTTGGAGCACCCTAGATTTCACCACTTTTCCAGACGAAAGAGCCAGCATCAAGTGAGGAGCCGCAGAAGAGTCTCGGAAGCATAAGAGTCTCTGCAAGTTTGAGAGCACAAGCAGATAGGGAGCCCAATACCCCGGAATTGAGAAAGATACCTTAAATCGCAGCGGGCTTCTTATTATACATCCAAGGCATGTTGCTCAATTAAGGGGTATTGGGCTCCTGGGGTATCTTAATGCAGACTGACATTCGACCGTCATAGCAATGCGGGAGTGTGGCTCAAGCTGTCGCGCGAGTGCCCAGCTCCCCTCCGATAGATGAGCTCCCTGGAGATTGCAGACTTTTCGGTGGTGGCCGGGGCAGAAGACTGGCTGGATGAGGCAGTGAGGATCTTTCGGCAGACAGGATTCTGCATAATTCTCAATGCCTTGAGCGATGAACGGGCATCTGAGGTGCTGAAAGGCTGCCAGGAGGCAGGGCGCAAGATCTTGGAGTTAGATCCAGAAAGGATAGGGTGGTGCCACGATCCTGGCCACTATAGCTTTGGCTCTGCCAGCCAGTCTGGCCACATGTTGTATCACGAAGCATGGTCACTGCTGCTAGCATGCGAAGCCACCTTCAGCGCAATGCATGCGATCTTGCCGGACGGGTTTGTGTTTTGCGGTGGCGGAGGCGATTTTGTCCTTGCAGGGACGGAGAAGTACCAAAGCCTGCACGCGGATCTGGGACCTGGACAGGTTCCGCCAGAGTATCGTGTTGACGATGCTCCTCCCCAGATCGCCGTAAATTTCATTGTGCAGACGATGACCGAAAAGAACGGACCCATGAGAGTTATACCAGGCAGGAAGGTTACTGGCTTCTTGTTGAGGGAGTTAATTTAAGTTGCCATAATAAAGAAACCCTATTCAAAAAAATACTGTAGAGCCCTATTATGGTAACTTAAATCCTAACAAGAACCCAGGTTATTCATGGACAGCAAGACATTCCGCCGAACTTTCGACAGGAGCCAGACCGGTACAAGCAATCGAAGCTTTTTCCTCTGCCGGCGGGAGCAGCCATTCTCCGTGACCTGAGACTTTGGCATGGGGGCACTCCAAATTCAAGCGAAGAGACGTGTTTCTTGCCAAGTGTGGAGGTGTTCTCTGCCAAGTATGCCTCCTTCATCTTCCAGAAGTCTCTTTGTCATAGTTGGGTAATATTTCTTTACATGTTAAAGGGTACTTTAAGCCAACAAAGAACAGAAATTTAAATGTTTAATACTTTCCAAACCATGAACTAACTACGGTTGATGATATACATCCTGCATTACCCATAATTAGGCATATCCCATAATCTTTATGGATTAGCGTCCTTAAGGCCATAAGGTAATGCAGGACGTATATCATCAACAGAAGGTCTGAAGAAAAGGGATGGCATTGGCATCTTCCTTCGAAGGCTCGCCGATGTCTCCCCGACTCCCTCTTCCTTCAACTTCCACCGGTGGTCCAGGAGCGTTGCCAGGAGATCCGGGATTGCATTTTAAAGTATGCTAGAGTATACTATAGTATTATAGTATATTATAGTATAGTATAGAATATTATAGACTATCAGGGTATAGTATGGTATCTTAGGGTATATTACTGTATAGGATAGTAAGCTATAATATGTTATAGTCCATGCTCGTATATGACAGTATATGATGGTGTATTATACTATGGTTGATGATATAAATCCTGCATGAGCCTGTGGGAATTATATGGTATATTCCTGATTATGGGTAGTGCAGGACCCAGAGAATCCAATACCCCTTAATCAAGGAATATACCTTAAATTATAGGGGCCTTAATATTATGATTTAAGGTATACTCCGTAATTCAGGGATATTGGGATCTCTGGGGATTTATGTCATCAACGGTAGGGAGCGTTGCCAGAGGAGATCCGGGCAGCGAGTCCGGTGCCGACCGGCTTCCGAGACTTCACCCAGCCTTGGCTGGAGAAGAAAGGCTCCAACTGGGAAGCTCCGAAGGAGGATTCGACGGCCTGGAGGCGTGCAGGATTCCAGGGAAAGGGTTGGAGGACCTGGCGGGGGAGAGCTGAATGGAAGCCCTGGAGCGAGACAAGGGCACACTCTGACAGACAGGACTTGAGGGGCTCTGCTTCGAGCATCTCCGCCAATCTGGAACTTCTTGGACGTGGGGACACAGCGAGTCGGATTGACTTTGCGACTCTACGTGCTGCCGTCGCAGACGTGGCGTCCGTCGTTGCCAAGAGTGCGCGGGTCACGCTTGCTCTTGTGCTTCTCTATCGTGCGACGCAACTCTGGGGAGCCCTTCTGGCAGTCTCTGGGCTCTTGTTAAGGGATTTAATTTCAGTTATCATAATAAGGAAACCCTATTACTTACTATAGATCCCTATTATGGTAACTTAAATTCAATCCTTTAACAAGAACCCAGGTCTTCGACCGTCTCGTAGCGCGCACAGGTCGCACTCTGAGGACTGGTCTGCCTCGAATTCTGGCCCGCCTCGCCCTTCTGCGTGGGCGCAGAGGCACGTGAAAAGCGGCTCAGTGTTCCGAGGATTTGTGAAAGCCGACCTCGGCGAACCACACCAAGATCTTATGTCTGCTCTCATGGTCTAGGTGAAATGGGCTTTTGAGCAGTTGTTGCCGTTGTGGCAAGAAGCGCATGGGTGGCCTGGCGTAGGATTTAGGGTTCAGGGATGGGTTGTGGTCATGCATCTCAAGAACACTTTCGCAGGATGAAGGACTTGTCTGCATTTCCGTAGCAAAACGAGTTATTCAAATTTGGACCGCCCAGTTGCAAGAAGGGTCGTACTCGTACAATGTAGAGGCTAATGTACCATCCATGACATCGTTTTTGAGCTCCTCTGTCGTAAACCCTAAACCCCAAACCCCTAAACCTTCCGCAATGCGGATTCCGCTGACCTTAACTGCAAGGTGGAAAAAGGTGCTTAAAAAAAAACCCTAAACCTCACATCCCATTTCCCCAAACTCCATATCCACTTTCGCCCTTTTTCATCTCCGAGAGCGCCAGTATGACTTAGAAAAACCCGCCTTTTTGGGCCGTTGGGGGCCCAGACTGCGCCAGCTTGCGGCGTCGCAGGGCGCCCAGCAAGGAGGTTTCAATGGTACCCAGAGAACCCAATACCCCTTAGTTAAGGAGTATACCTTGAAATTATAGGGGCCTTAATATTATGATTTAAGGTATATTCCTTAATTAAGGGATATTGGGTTCTCTGGGTATCCTAGCCCACTTGGGCTAAGGATTCTCTTATACACGGTTTAGGGTTTAGGGTTTACTATTATAAGGGGCGAAAAATTTCGAGACTTTGAAGTGGGCTGTGACTGAGGGCTTAGGGGTTTCGATTTAGGCTTCGATGATTTCAGGTCATGTCGCTGCGGCTGCGGTCGCGGTCCAGAGACAGAGAAAGACTACGGCGGAGGTCTAACTCCCGATCCAGGAGGCGCGCAGGGTCTGCACAGTGGAACAGATAACTCTACAGACCTATAGACCTATAGGTGCAAGACATCTGCTTTTTGCGTTAGTGAGCCGTCATAGTCTTGCCACCGTGTCATATAGAAGCCTGACCAATTACAAACAAAATATTCCTTAAGGATTATCATGCCACGATACAATCCACAAAACCATACTCTAATGATTAAGGTCCCCCCATTAATGAACCTTTGTAGTAACCCTTATAGGGTCCCTTAAAGGACTCTTTATAAGATCCCTTTTCCGGAACCTTATCCTATGCAGACCTCCCGGTGCCATCTAAACCCTAAGCCCGAAACCCTAAACCATAGACCCTAAACCCGAAGCCTGAACCCTAAACCCGAAACCCTGCAGACGGAAAAAGGCTCTCAAAAAAAAAAACCCGAAACCCTAAACCCTAAGCCCCGAACAAGCCCCGAAAGCCCTAAACCCCAAGCCCCGAAAGCCCTAAATCCTAAGCCCCGAGGGGCCTAAAACCCCAAACCCTGTTCCGTGGCACAGGAAACCTGTCGAAAGGGTGGACAGACCGCCGCCGGAGAGGACCAGGCGACGAAAGAGCCGCACACCCGTTTCCAAGAGCAGGAGCCGTTTAGGGTTTAGAGTTTAGGGTTTCGGGGTTTAGGGTTTAGGGTTTAGTGGTTTAGGGTTTAGGGTTTAGGGCTTAGGGGTTAGGGCTTTAGGGGTTTAGGGTTTTAGGGTTTTAGTTAGGGTTTAGTGGTTTAGGGTTTAGGGTTTAGGGCTTAGGGGTTAGGGCTTTAGGGGTTTAGGGTTTTAGGGTTTTAGGGTTTTAGGGTTTAGGGTTTCATCAGTCGAGTCAAAGAATTGAATGCCATGCGATGCAAAACAGTATAAGATGATGTCTCATGGTATGATGTAGATGTAGCGTGATTTAATATAGCACATGACATGACCTCATAAGGTAGTATAACAGAATATATCACGATAGAATGCAGCATATTACAATGTAGCAAAATATCGTGTAATAGAGTATATTTAATATGCTACAATATATGTGTGTGTATTATTACATAATGAGACAGAGTATAAAGCAATATAATATAGCACAACGTAACAGATTGGGTGAATAGAGCATAGTATAGTACAATATAGCATACTATGCTGTACTATACTATACTATGCTATACTATACTATACTATACTATACTATACTATACCATACTATTCTATACTATACTATACTCTACTGTATTCTACTCTACTATGTACTATGCTATACTAGAGTGTACTATACTGTACTGAAGTATATATATATATATAATATAGGATAGTGTGGTATAGTAGAGTAGAGTGTAGTGCAGTAGAGTATAGCCTCGTCTAGTAAGTATCGTATAATATAGCACAGCATATAATAGAATAGCATGGAATCGGATAGCATAGCATAGTATAGTGTAGTTTAGTGTAGTGTAGTATAGTTTACAGTTTAATGCTAGTGTAAAGTTCGAAAGGTCTCTCTCTCTCTCTCTCTCTCTCTCTCTCTCTCTCTCTCTCTTCCTTACATCGAGACACAAGAAAAAGCGTTGTTGTGTGGCGAAGATGACTCAGGAGTCCTGCCAAGAAAAAGCCTGGCGACGACCTCAAACGAAGACGGCGGCTTGTTGCTGCGCTCTTTCTCTGCTTTTCTGCTCTTCCACAGCACCCTGAACCCCAAACTCGAAACCTCGGCTTGGCCAAAACTCTAAGCGCTAAACCTATTTGGCCTAATCCCCGATCCCTAAACCCCCATTCCTAAACCTTAAACCCTCGACCCGACTTCTAAACCCCTGCTTGGCCTAAGCCCTAAACCCTAAAC